CTCCACTCCACTCCACTCTCATCCCATATAGCCGCTTGGTGCCGTCACCCTAACCGCGGTAGATATCAAGTATTTCTTTCCGTGTATAATAATACACATTAATCCACTTAATGTCTCCTCAAACTCACTATGCTTTACTAATCTCATCCTATCCCCTCATCTTCCCAGATTTTGATCTACGGCTGTAGCCGGTTTGGACGATCTGGTTGGCTGTTGCCTATCCTCTTCACCCACAGGATCCCCGAAAATCCCGCGATCCTGTATTGGCTTCGATCTACCCTGTTTCCTAGGCTAGCCTGAAAAGAATCCCGCCGCTCAAAGAATCACTCGTTCCAGCCAAATGGCCTTAAGTGTGACGTCCTTCACGAGGTTGTCCAAAAACCGAACTATGTCAGCCCAATGATGGCACAGCACTGCCATACCCAGTTTGGTAGCACATCCGGAATTATTCGCTTTCGTCACTCGACCGTGCACTCTCGCCCACTCGTTTCATTAACTGCAAATACGATCAAGCTGCCTTTACGACATGTCCATTCAAATATGCTGGAACTTTCATTCACCGTTAACCGATCCTGTATGCCTGCGCTTCTCGCGAAATACAACAACTTTCTATGAAGTTCGTGTTCCGGTTCGTGTGATGCCATCATATCACTCTTCCCAAGAACTGATGTTACGGACTCTACAACAGCGATCCCAGTTGATCTCTACTGTTTCACTGTACACCATTTCCTGATATTCCTGCTACCACTTACCCACTTCGCTAATCCCTCCACTCCGCCATCCCCACCTTCGCTTTTTGTGAACCTGTCTATGAGCCAAATAGTCCAAGGAAGATCTTCATCGCTGCGGAGTGATTCATTAAAAAATATCAACTGAACTGTCACAGACTATTGGACAGGAAACAAAACTCTCACATGCATCTTGCTTACAAAACTGAACATCCATTTTCTCTTGGACGCGACTTCCTGAACTTTCTCGGGTGTTCACTGACCGTTGCTGAAATCCAAGCAAATGCTACAAAGCGACCCCACAAATTTCGCAATAAACCTCACGTTTCAATAGACGCGAAGCGGATTTAAGAGAAAGCCACAAACGACTTGCATGTGTCGCCAGTACTATCCACCGTTATAAACCTAACCCCATAAAAGGTCGTTCGCGTGCCACCGATTTTCATTTATCTCCGTCGGCTCCAGCAGCTAGTCTATTCGACTGCAATATATCTCACTTTTTAAGAGACGCGAAGCAGACTTACGAGAAAGCACACTAGTCGCATGCCTTATCCATCAGTGGTATCACCGTCACACCAGGTCATAGTGGTGGTTTTAGGTTTAGTTCAGTATGATCTGCTGGATGACCCCAACCCTGATATTCTTGTTACTCCTTTCTTACCGCTTAACTCTTTATTGTCGTGTGTCCCGATAGGAAGCCTCTTGTTTCACCCTTCCTCACTTTGTTTCTTGTCCACAACCTTCGAATCCTAACGATCCGATTTTGCTCAGTATTTCTACAAAAAACGCATATCAACTGTGCTTCCTTGCCCGTACCGGTTTAGTGGCGACCACATCTACGTTGGGTAATGCCCACTACTTATGACGCTGTCCCTTCCCCTAGCCCCCGGGTGCCCACAATCCCCGCCGGTCATGCTTTTATACTAACCTTGACTCTATCATCGCGCCCAACTGTATGCCACCACAAGTTGAGAATAAACGCTATTATTATCACTCTTGTTGCAGCAGGCAATCACCAAGTTCACCGGAAAATCGGGGAATCCGAAGAAGCTGGTATGCTGAGCGTATTCTGTAATAAGCCGCAGTACGCGAAGCACCGAATGTCTAGTGCGGTTTTGCCTATGGGTCAAATGCACCACCTGGCTGTCACCTCTTATTTTTTTGAACATAACCATAAGTTGTTGAAGTTTTTGTACGATCGGCTTTCAACCACAGACGAGTCGGGCACTTGTAGGGCCATCCTGAAATATGGAACGCTGTTGTGTAAGTTGCGGCAGTTTGTGGCTAATGAATTCGGCAAGATCCTCACCACTCATGATGTACACAACTACAGCCGGAAGTGTCGGCCGGCTCTGTTGAGTAAGTGTCGCACAGTTGGGATTTACTGTGACAGCTGATAGGCCTTCGTTCCTGACAAAATTTTATGGGACCGGACACGTGCTTGTGTGACGGTCGGAGGAGGGTTAGTATAGATACATATGCTTTTCCTGATAGCAGAAGATAGCGTTGCTCCGACGCTTCCAGATGCAGTGAATGTAGACGGAACGCATGCAACAAGTCGTTTCGACTGAGTCCTTTGAAGCACGTTATATTCTAGCTGAATATACAAGCTGTATTTCTTATTGATAATACACGGCACTAAAAAAAGCGGGCGTCCGATTATGCATACATTCATGGAGAGCTAACTGTTTACTCCCATGCGCAAACTGTTCGAATTACTCAAGGAAATAATGGACGAGCATTATCCAGTTAAGATTTTGAATGTGAAAAAGTTGGCGTTGCAAACGAGGGCAGCAATAGCCACGTTCGGTTGCGATTTTTTATTTTCGTGTCAGGGAAGCTATCAGGAGCACGTATGTATCATTTACTATTCATGTATTTTTGGTCATAGACATTCTGCGAACAGCCGGCACCTATGACACCGCATGGCTCGTTTGGAAAACGCTGTACAGTAGGTTTTCTGTCTGCCATATTACATGCATACCGATTGCGGCAAGATTTGTAGCATCCGCTGCGTACAGATTGAAAATAAATTTTTTACCTAAAGGCCCGCTGGTTGTACAAAATTCGATTATGCACCGTACACGCACGATCCGGGATGGTTTACTTTGGTAATGCGATCAACAACTGCTATAGAGTGAGAACGGCCGTCTTAAAAACCTGGCGCACCGGTCCAACACGCAGCAGCATGCCATACAATAGGTGTCCCATCCCGCCGATGTGCTCATGAGAGAAGTTGAGATGCATACCTTGTGCCACTCTGACGGGCGTCTTAAGATGCTCATCTGGATCGAAGCACTGAATCCTAGCACAGTGTGTCACAGTAGTCCATGTGTGTCCGTGTTTTCAGGCCCAAGGTAGAACTACTCGACAGCCGTGAGTATGTCTGACTACCACGATTAACGCCTTGGGACGCAAGCTAGATGAAAGTGATGAAGATGATTTCATGTGACCCATCAGCTCCAGACAGTTCGTCTGCTGATGAGACAACATGCACTTCATGTAAACCTCGTAGTTCTCGAGGGATACAGTAAATAGGCATGCGAAACAGCCGCTTAACATGGCTTGTGTAAGCGAGCTCCGACGACATTAAGGCCGCTAAATTGCATCCAATTTAGGGGGGTTAATCCCGCGAGTTTTCAGCCGCCCGCCTACGGTGAACTTTCGATAACCTAGCTTACATCCTGCTATCACTTCAGGACGTCAGTATCCAAACGAACACTCCTCACAGTGAAATTGATGCGCCTCCAAGTAGGACATATGTATTCAGCAAAATTATCCATAATACTCAACTTTTTGTCATTTGTTTTGGACCTTTTTCCGGATAGAGGTGGACCGACGAACCAAAGCCAGCTTCTTGTGCATCGTAACCCCCTAGGCACACGTTAGTCGTGTGCATCGGTTAGGTTATTTGGCTTTCCGGTATGGTCGACTTAGGTTCCGTGGGGCATCCCCAGTAAAGTAACAGCACCTGCTTCAAAGTGCATATTTCTTTATCGGGCCAGACCCATGGCTACCATTTTACATTCTCCGAAACTCGTATTCTGTCCACATGTGCCCAGCAATCTATGACACCGCATGGCTCGTTTGGAAAACGCTGTACAGTAGGTTTTCTGTCTGCCATATTACATGCATACCGATTGCGGCAAGATTTGTAGCATCCGCTGCGTACAGATTGAAAATAAATTTTTTACCTAAAGGCCCGCTGGTTGTACAAAATTCGATTATGCACCGTACACGCACGATCCGGGATGGTTTACTTTGGTAATGCGATCAACAACTGCTATAGAGTGAGAACGGCCGTCTTAAAAACCTGGCGCACCGGTCCAACACGCAGCAGCATGCCATACAATAGGTGTCCCATCCCGCCGATGTGCTCATGAGAGAAGTTGAGATGCATACCTTGTGCCACTCTGACGGGCGTCTTAAGATGCTCATCTGGATCGAAGCACTGAATCCTAGCACAGTGTGTCACAGTAGTCCATGTGTGTCCGTGTTTTCAGGCCCAAGGTAGAACTACTCGACAGCCGTGAGTATGTCTGACTACCACGATTAACGCCTTGGGACGCAAGCTAGATGAAAGTGATGAAGATGATTTCATGTGACCCATCAGCTCCAGACAGTTCGTCTGCTGATGAGACAACATGCACTTCATGTAAACCTCGTAGTTCTCGAGGGATACAGTAAATAGGCATGCGAAACAGCCGCTTAACATGGCTTGTGTAAGCGAGCTCCGACGACATTAAGGCCGCTAAATTGCATCCAATTTAGGGGGGTTAATCCCGCGAGTTTTCAGCCGCCCGCCTACGGTGAACTTTCGATAACCTAGCTTACATCCTGCTATCACTTCAGGACGTCAGTATCCAAACGAACACTCCTCACAGTGAAATTGATGCGCCTCCAAGTAGGACATATGTATTCAGCAAAATTATCCATAATACTCAACTTTTTGTCATTTGTTTTGGACCTTTTTCCGGATAGAGGTGGACCGACGAACCAAAGCCAGCTTCTTGTGCATCGTAACCCCCTAGGCACACGTTAGTCGTGTGCATCGGTTAGGTTATTTGGCTTTCCGGTATGGTCGACTTAGGTTCCGTGGGGCATCCCCAGTAAAGTAACAGCACCTGCTTCAAAGTGCATATTTCTTTATCGGGCCAGACCCATGGCTACCATTTTACATTCTCCGAAACTCGTATTCTGTCCACATGTGCCCAGCAATTCGCTTGTTTAGCGCCCCATCCACCCTTTTGTCTTCGGTCTCTCAAAAGATATTTAGAACCGAACATCATGCTCGGTGCCAACACTACCACCTACCATGCTCCTCAAACAAACATTCAACGTTTGCAGAAGGCTGAAGAAAAATTAACCAGAAATTTGAAGGATTAGCCATTCTTTCAGACCTCATCCGAGTGTTGGGATGCATGTTTGTCACACTCTTGTCAACCAAGTTACCAAGCTGGCTAATCGGCGAACCTGGAAAATATTAAGAGATCTTCGTACACTGAATCTGATTAAGACTAGCAGGTGGTCAATAGGCCTAGCTGCCGTAATTTGCATTCCCGCAAAACTCTTACCAGGGATACATTCTCTAACCCAATTCTTATTCACATTCAAGCCAGGCTACAAGGGCGAAAACGTTAGCGCAAATTTAGTCCAGGAAACCACAATACAAATAGGAATTTATCACTGAGGAATTTTGTAGAATTTTCCCCTGGTACACATGGTCCATGCAGATGTTGAGATGGTTACCCTGCCGGAAAGAAAACCTCAATTAGTTAGAAGCACCGCAGACAGCGTCCAATGGTTACTCTGCAATCTCCAGCTCTGCCACAGAAACTTCAACTCTGGTGCATAAATTTTGAATGACGATGAGACTATAATAACCAGCACTTTGAAAAGAAAATGGTGTTAAACCAATCAGTTATTGAATCTGTGAGCTCCTCATTCCGGAAAGCGTTAGTTTTAAGTTCTCGAATTTGCTGTATTGCGTTGGCCCATTATGATGCTCAGTTTGCTTTCATAACGTTTACATCCTGATGATTTCAACACTACTTGGAGTACGTCCTCGTTGCATATGAACTTTTAAAGCAGCATCCTTCAGGCCACTGCTAATATGGACACTTTTCTGGGTTCTTCCTATTCCATCTCTATATTCGTCCATGTGGGTTTCTTTTGCTGTTGGGTTAAATGAAACCACGTACTAGTTTGCCCGCGACTCTTCCACAAAGTTTTCAAACTCGAAAGTGACATCATGTTCTTCAAGACCATCCCTCTTTATTCAGTGACCACCAACCAAACCTCGTCAACAGGTCGGACACAATGGGCCTAACGTTTTTAGCAATAACCATGTTCGGTACATTGTGATTAGCATTACTTTTACTAATATAGTCGCAAGTAGGGCCTCAAATAGCCAGCCTGAATTAAGCCCAACTCTTGGGGGCCAAGATCCTCGAAGGCAGGTTCCACTGTTGTACCAATTGGGTTTGTTTTTAATCCATCTCCCCGTCCAGGATCGTTTTCCCGCTCTGGAAATGAGCCATAGCCTATTTCGCCGTCAGCGGAGGAATTCATCATGAGCCGTCCAACTACTGTCTCACAAGCCCCAATCTTCTCATTGAAAAATAGGCACTTTTCACTATTTCTCTGCTGCACCAAATTTTTTGCTGCACTAGTTCTGAGTTCATCCAACCCCTCGAAAATATTACCTCAAAAAACTTTCAGAACTAAAGGCAGCTAACCAATACCCCTTAAGTATTTTTCCAAGGGATGTTGACAAGATTCCAGCCAATGTTTTCACTTCCAGGCCAGAAGAGTGGTTGAAATGGCTTCCCTCGGTAACCGGGCCTCCAAAATTTGTGGCGATAACTCCAATTCAGATCATTTTGAGACACTAGGCTTAGTTATTCTATGGTATTTCAGGGCGCACCTCCTCTAAGAGGAATCATTAATAGTGTACTATCTCTATGGTTTCTAGACTACTCAGTGTTTGAAGTGGTGACCCAGCTAACCCACGAAGTCCTGCTATCCCCTCGTTTAGAGCTTTTAAGCAATCATAAACGAAATAATTGATGCGCTTTTTGCAACCACTGTCACCTATTTATGGTTTTCCTTGAAGTATTCATCATCCCGATCCCTTCTGCTCAAACTTGAGAAGACCGCATGACCGAATCTTGGTTGGTTTTTCTTTTCACTTGTATATCGTTGTTCTTTCACCGAAGCCGGTCAAACTGCACATCTTATCCACCACGTATTCCTGTCCATAGACGTTCAAAGCTTTCAAAACTTTTCCAACTTTCCATGCAGTCCTCAGCAAATGCAGTCAAGTGTGAATATCCTGGATTAAATGTAACGAAACCATCTTGGGAGAAACTCGGCGATGAAAAACTGTGGAGGCAATCTGTCTTTGCGGTCAACTTAGCTCAGCCTCTCGTCTTTCAAATGCCAGATTATCTGCCGATTATCTGTTTACGGCCATTGTGTCCTTCAGGACGTCTTTTTTAAATTATCCCAGCCTCATCCATAACACAAAATTTCGTAGCTAAAAATAAGATCATCCAATAAAGGCACACAACATGAAACAGTGATAAATTTATTTTGATGATTATGTTGATTCTCTAGAACAAGTTTCTCGAACTCGCAAAACATCCCAAACTACTCCTCTCATGGCCTAGTCTTCAAGTCTCCAGACCAGGTTGACCACGATTAACATTACCATAACTGGCGATAGCTGTTTACCTATTTTTCAAACGGTCCGATATTTTCATAATCATTACTCACTATGCCTTTTTTCACGCACGCAATAAATCCCTCACCTCCGCTACGAACTGCAGCTGGTGCTATACACATCTCGGAAAATCTCATCAGATAAGGTAATATCAAAACAGGACTGCTAAGGAAATCGATTGAGCACGGTACATAGCTTGCGTGTTGCCACGATTTACGCCTACATTTGATCCCTGGACCACCTATCCCCTTTTGGAGCAGACACTTGAGCTTGCGAGCAAGATGAACAGTCGACAGAACCGGGACACGTAACTATTTGGTGGGCTAGGGGACTGAGAAACAGGCGAACCGAGGGAGTGGGAGAAGATTGTGTTGTGGAAAGGAGCGCATACTTCACAAGCAGAAAAGCTAACCACTGGTAACCGCTGATCCTTGGGATGAATGAACAACTTCTGTGATAACCATCTCGGGATATCCTTTAGGAGGCGTGAAACTACTAGCCTCAGCTTCACTACATCAGAAGCGGTCAGGCTGTTTGCGGGTGTGGTGGTCGCCGGTGACCACAAGAGATAAAACTGCGAGTGTAACGACGATAAACACCAAAGAGCTGAGAGTCTTCGAGAACAAAAGATGAAAGCGAACGCTGTCGAGTAACTTGCCTGAAGCACGCCAAACCGGATAGCTGCTTCCCGAATTTAAGGTGCATTCGTCTGCCGAAAGGAGCTCCCAGGGAGTTCTGTCACTGGCAGTGCCCCTTTACGTTTTCAAATAACAGAGAATAGATCCAACAAGGTTTTACATAGGCCCTTTATCATCTCGGCCGCTCCGGGGAGGGGCAATCGAGCTGAAGGAAGCCTGATCATTTAAAGTCCTCGAACGACAGTACATCGGTGTAAAATATGGGTTCCACGAGTTGCCAGCGTGAACCGCCATGTTTTCAACTATTGGGAGAAAAACTGCGACCGTCCCTAAAAATCAGTGAAAACCGAAATCCGATAGGCCAGTTCGCCGTGCAGAGACAAGAGGGAGTAAAACCACCGGGACAATTTGCAGGCTTTTGCGCTGCGCAGATCACTTGCAAGGCTTGAACTGAAATCGGAAAAAGAATCACTAAATAGGCTGGCCTCCTTTGTAGCGCAACAGGTCTCCGCTTTCTATCTACGGAAGCAGCGGAGTTATCCTTGAAGTGCTTTTTCACAAACTATCACAATGTTTGGAATGCGTTTATTGACATTCAGCGGTCGGCTTGCCATGGGCGACTGTCCACGGCCTCATAGAACCCTGGCCCACATAGGATGCTGCGATTTCAATTAACCTTTACTTTGCGTGTTGAGTCAATACAGTGGTGGCGTATGTTGTTGCTCTGTACTGAAGTGCGGACCTCCTATCACGATTATCATCTCCGACACATCTCGCGTCCTTCTGAAGAGCGCTGCCGATTCACATTCCACAAAATGATGAGCATTATCTCTCTTTTGAAGTCACCTACTGATCCGCTCAAGACCACCCGAAGTCTACCTGTTCTAACAATTTACTCACCCTTTGCTCGTGGTTGCTTTATTGCTCGAAAGACCCCCTGGAAAGAGTCGAGTGGCGTTGGGTCTGCTAGACGGGTTAAATTTGCGCTGAATACAGTCGTTCGATGGGGCACATTGACAAGCGTCCATTGTATGTCCCATTCGGAAGAGGCCTGCTATCATCCGTATGGTTGTAACTAAAGAAGCACACACCTTCTATCATGTGAACATTTAGCATGTTTCAGGAGTCAGTATACACTGCGTGCTGACATGTGACCTTAACCTATAGTGGGTCAGGAACCCGGTACACCCCACGCGGACCCAAGACTACTGCCATGCTGACTACCCATGAATGTGGATCTGCCCTTATCAACATAAACAGCAAACAGCTTTAGTGGAAGGAGCATAAAGGGCCATTTTTCGGAAAATTCTCCGGGCTGAGTTACTCGTCCAAAGGAGATCGGTAAGCGACCAAACGAACCAGGAGCTACCCGAAAGTTTCGTTCTCATTTGCAAATGCGGCCCCAGATCAGCCTCAAAAAGGTAACTACATGTGGGTTGGAGGATTTGCATGCATTTCGGAAGACTTAGAACCACTGTGAGTGAGGAGATTTTCAGATAAATGTAACAAAACCGGCCACGATTCTAAGCTTCGTCTGGAAAAGCAAAACCCTATACATTAAGTACGGGTCATCGCCGAAGAAACGAGCTAGCGCCCATTCTCTTGAGGGACAGGAACGCAGAGAACTCGCGTGACCCAGTAGAGGCCTCTAAAGCACAGCGATATCAACGCATAGCTTGTATTCCACTTCAATCTGTCCATCACATCCCGGCTTGGCATTACGACATTACGAGCTACCGCTGACCAGTCGATTCATGCGCCGGAGAAAGTTCATGGACCTAAGTACGAGACGAGCTCTTTCAATATTTTTGGACTATATGGGAAACATCCTCAGGAGAAAACATCGTCAGGCTTGTTAAGTTTCGTCACTAGATGCAGGTGGTCTCCCTCTCCTTAGAAGGGAGCGACTAACCCACCGATCCGCAGGGCTTCTTGTCGCTCATCCCCATGAGCCAGAGGGCTATAATCTCATTAACGCACCGCCCGGGCTGACGAAATGCAGCGTGATTCGGATCATCCTGAAAAGCCTCATCATCGGCTAATTTACGTCCCCGATGCAACATTCATCTCTCCCAAACCGTTCGTGTATGACTGGCATGCTCGTATTTATGGACAGCTTGAAGCAAGCCGAGGACGAGGAACTCATATAAGACGCAATTTTTCGGCTTCTCCGGAGCATCTGATCAAGTACTATATGGTTTGGTGCTCCACGAACTTGATTCTTGTTGAATTCAAGAGACTGGTTCACAATAGATTAAGACTGTCCTCGCAAGTAGAAGCTTTTGAGTGACGGCTGGATCGACCTGCTGTTCTTCAGCTTTGGTCTCCATTGAGGTTCCTCATGGCAACGTCCTAGGGTCACTCATCCTCACAATATGCGTTCTTGACGTTTTGGCTACATTTTCACGTCTGTGTTTGCTTTTTGCAAACGGTCTTGATTGTTGGAGTTTCAGACCCGGAATCAGTGGTCACTGGAATTGCGCCACCGTCCAACCGACGGAGAGCGCCTCCAAATGCCGCTCGGAAGTGGCTCAGAGAAATTACTTTTTGTCCAAGGCGAGAATGGACCGCGAGACGTATCGAAGCAAGGTGAAGAAAAAGATTCAAGTGTTCCCTTCTACTTCAACATTGAGAGCCGCCCAAATGGGATTAATCGTTTTTCAGATAATTCGGCGGACCCTCCTCCGTATTAATTGTTTCAGGTACACTGTGCAACCTACGTCATGCGGGGTCTTCAACACGCAAGTCAGGTTTACTTATCAGGGGGCTAGAAACAAATAACTCTTTAAGCGAGTCCAACGAGCTGCTACGGAGAAGATCGTTGGCCTCAAATCAGCTGATTATGAAACAAGTAGCTTGAAATATTTCCCCTGGGCTGTTCGGGAGACCGATACATTGTCTGAGAAATAACTGGCCCATAGGCCTTTCGGAGTTCACCCATACATAAACTGCGGAACGGTAAGATTTTCAAGACCAAACAGCGCAATTTCGTTAGTAAACGTCTTCACTCGTTTCGCAATATGGTATGCGGGATGACTCTAAATTGGTTGTTCGGTTCGCATCTAGGGCCCAAACTAGGTCATATTTCGAGGCATTTACATATAGGTCCTCCAGGTGGCGAGCTTTCCACCACATGCTAGAAACCCTACCCTACACCCCGTCATCGCGTGTGCCCAAAAGGTGAACGGGTGCTGAGGAACGACAAAATGAACTCGACCCGGGAAGCTCGATCGTGCGAGCCATCATCATCACCATCACATGAACTCGAGGAAGCTCGATCGTGCGAGCCATCATCATCACCATCACCATCATCGACAGTATGACATCAGTGTTCAACACCGATGCTTCCTTCACGTACAACCATGACTTATTTGAAAGCCTTATTGTAAAGAAAAGAATAAAGGTGGATGGGGGAGAGACTTAATGCTAGCTTAACACAATCATTCCGAGGTGCCTACACCTACAGACATTCACTCAGGCAATCTGGATAGAAACTGACAGCAGGAACGCCACTGACATCGGTTGGCAGCCAT